CCCTGGGGTGGGCACCCATCCCTGCCCGGCTACTTGCAGACACTGACCCACTCGGTGATGCGACACTCCTCGCAGGCCACGAAGCAGCACCAGTGGAACTTGCAGTTGCAGCGCTCGCTGCGCGTCTGCCGCAGGATGTTGTGCCCGCGGCCGCAGCACAGGCTCTCGCAGTTGTCCATGCCCGGGCTGGTCTTGTTGCACAGGCGCCCTTGGGTGCCCAAGGAGTCCAGCGCTGGTTCCCGCTCGCAGAAGTCGGGGGACTTCTCGAAGTAAACCAGTTCGCTGATGCCGGCCCGGCGGCGATGCCGAATGTGGCCTGGCTCCAGCTGCCCGGCGTTGCGGTTGTGGGGCCGGATGAGGGTGGCCCCATAGAAGCGGTCCTTGAGCAGGGACCCCACCAGGCGAAAGTCGGGCGTCACCTGCCAGCACGTCTTCAGCTGGCAGCTCCCTGAGGTGCCATGGCATTTGCACTTCCTCCTCATGTTGTCCATCACCACCTGAGGGAGGAGGGAAGAACAGAGGGGTTAGCATGGAGGAGATAATTTTTGTGGACTGGAGAAGCCATCATGTAGCTCTCTGTGGGTTAGCCCTATGGGAACACGAAGGGCTGGCATGAGAAGCCGTCAGAGCCCTGGAGCTGCAAAGCCAGCGAGGCTGCACCCTGTTGCTCTGCCCAGTGTCACCCATGTCCCACACCCTGTCCCTCCCCATCCTGGCAGTACCAGCTGGCTTTCACACTCCAGCAAGGGATTGGCACCTAAAGGAGAGGGTGAGCTACCCAACCAGATGGAGGAGAAGGAGCCTGGATCTCACCTTCCACTGTTGCTTGGCTCCAGCATCACCCTGACCACTGACCCCAGTTAAAAGCTGATGTGGCTGCATCTTTGCAGCTCTACTGGGACCCCCCCCAGTACAGGAGTCCCCCCTCACACCTCACCAGCCGTGAGAACTCAAGTAGGGCAAGTGAGAGAGATGCTTTCCCCTCCTCAGGGCTTCCCTCCAGCTCCAAGAGTCCTAGGAGCAGCTCCACTTTGAACTTCAAGCAGGGATCGGAGATGCTCACAGCCCTGACCTGTGGTCTGGAAAGGCCGCAATAAGGCCAGTGCCACACGTCCAATCCCAGAAGGGCCAGGGTGTGAGGGCTGGGCTGCGGCTGCAGTTTGGCCTGGCCAGGGAGCACGGCTCATGGAGGAGCCAGAGGCCAGTATGTGGGCAAGGAGGACTTCTGGCTCCCTGGGTAATGCTGCTGAGCACCCAGGCTGTGTGCTGGGCTCCCCCTAGGTCTCCTATCCCTGCAAGGGATGCTGCTGTGGCCGTGCCAAGGGAAACAGCTTATGTCCAGCAATCTCCAGGGGCACGGAGTGGCCATACATCCCAGAAAGAGACAGTTTATACTGTCCTCTGCTCTGTCCTGACAGGACATCCCTGCTGTGTCACACACCTCCATGCCCATGCACTTGCACAGGCTCCAGCCAGTCCCCTTCCCATGGGGACACTCAAGCCCCACCATGAGCCAGGCTGGGGCTTGCAAAGGCTATCACAGGCTGAACCCCCCCACCCATGCACATGCTCCAGGGCTTGGGGGGAGCCCAGGGGACACGTGGCCCTGTGCAAGGTCTCATCCCATGATGCCAGCTCTGCCTGGCCACTCGGATTCATGCCTGACACACGCTGCCTGTTCCTGCCCCCTCTCTGGGGGAGTCACCTGTGCGAGGAGTGCCTTGTTTTGGTAGGGGTGGGTAGTTTTCCCCCCTTGTTTTCTTGTTTTTCAGTAAATCTCCCCATTGCTAAGCTGTTATGGTAATGAAGACAGGTCAGGGAAACACACCTGGAGCTCGGGGCACACAGGCAGAGAGGTCTGGGCTGGGCTGGAGTTTGGCTTTCATCCTGCTGAGAGTCCCGTCTCCTGCTGGGAACAGCCTCCACCTCGCAGGTAATGAGCTGCCCAGCCTCTCTGCCATGCCCTAGGTGTGCCAGCCAGGAACACCAGCTTTGCCACCATCCATGGGAACATGCTGGCACCAGGACCCTGACCTCTCTCACATCCCCTCCCTGCTCCCTTGGCTGGACCAGGAAAAGTCTGTATATAGGGCTGTGGCTGGGAGGGTCACCACCAGGATGGAGGGGACAGCGGCATGGCAGCTGGACAGGGGCTCATTTGGGTCTATGGCTGGTTGCAGCAGGGGCTGGAGAAGGCAGCCTCTGTGTGTGTGATTTCCATCGCCCAAGCCATCACCGCTGAGCATCCCGAGCCCCAGCACTGCAGCACCCATCCATCCCTGCCCAGGGACAGCTTGCTCTCCCTTCCGCATGGGCAGCGCAGTGGGGACAGGACTCTGCCAGAGCTGGGAGACCCAAGAAGGACCCATCTGAGCCTCAGCCCCATGCTTTTGCCATCGTATCTCCTCCATGCACCCCTACCCGGCCACGTCCTTCCCATGTCTCACAGGCACTTGAGTTCGGCACATGCCCGGACTCGCTGGTGCTTTCTTTTGCACATTCCCTGCTCCTCCCAGACACGCTCATAAGAGCTTTATCGTAGGTCTTTGTTGTGAGGGTAATGGGTAGTTCTTGGCTGCCTTTCATCCTCTCTTGCTCTCTGATCTGGCAGCTTAGGAGGACCTGCAAAGCCTCTTGCATGCTCCTGCTGCTCCTTGCTGGGGAACTTGCTCCTTCCTAGGGATGCAGGACACCCACCTCAGCCTTGAGTTGGAACAGGAAGCCCCAACAGGAAGGCTTCCTGTTCCAACTCAAGACCAAGGTGACCACTGCCAGCATCAGAGGATGCTGCGCATCCCCTGCAGCTGCCATCTCCTCCCCTGCTTCACAGATGGATGCAAAAGTAGTAAAAACCAGTGTGTTTCTGCCTGGTTTCAAACCAGGGACCTTCCGCGTGTCAGGCAAATGTGATAACCACTACACTACAGAAACCCACATTACATGGCCACTGAACGCAGCCATTGGTGGGACTGTCACCTCCTCCCAGCATTACAGGGTCCAAGCTGGGAGTGAGACTTACGTACACACAGAACACCCTTGGGACACACAGGGATCGCTGAGAGGATGCTCAGCATCAGTGAGATGCTGGAGAGCCCTGGGTGCTGCAGCTGCTTGGTGCATGGAGAGAGATGGCATGTGGCAGGGTATGGCATGTGGCGTGAGTGTCCACGTCACTGCTCTGCTCAAGGAGTTCAAGCCTTGGGACTTGGATGGGAAGACAACAGAGCTGCTGCATCCAGCACAGCCACTTCTTTCCTGGGAAATCCCAGCAGATTGCTCCTTATTACAGCTGAAGGATGGTGCTAGGAGTGAGGAAGGCTTGGGTGGGCATGGGACCCACGGCCTTGCTAAAACAGCAGGTGGGGAGCTGGAGAACCCATTGGCGGGCAATGTGGATGGCCAGGTCCAGCCCCAGGTATAAGCATGGCACCAACAGGCACAGACCAGGCACAGCATCATCTCCTTGCTCCAATGGATGGCACCCACAGCTGTCACAACCCAACCCACACATGGGTTCACACCATCATCTCAGCAGGGTCCCTGAGCCATGCAGCCTGTCCAGCCATTGCTTTCCTAGCTGTACTGGTACCATCCTCTCCTTTATCTGTTTGGTCATGCTCTGCCTCTGCTTCCAGTTCCCAGGCTACTCCCACCAGTCCGGCTCTTGACTCCGAAGCCACCAAGAGCTGATATTGTCAGTCCCATGACTGCCTGCCCTTGGGGACAAGCAGACCACAGGCATTTCTGCTGTTGCCAGATCACACAGGCACCACTTGGTGACATCTCTCCTGTGCAAATATTCCTCTCTCACCTTCCCGTCCTTCTGCAGGGAGCTGTTGGGTTTCCCTTGGGAAATGGGCAAGACAGACCCCAAATTTCTGAGCCTTGCCAAAAGTCCCAGTGGTTTGGGGCACACAGAGCTGGAGGGGAACCGGGATGGACTGGGATTGGATGGTCTTGCCTTGCTCGGGGCAGAGCAGCCTGTGGAGGATTTAGCTGCCTAACACCGAGCGAGCCTTCACCATGTGCAAGCAAACAAAGCCAAACAAGCAAAAAGCTCTGGTTTTCCCCAGGCATTTACAGCTTGGCCAAACTAGGACAGCTTTTTCAGGGCAGTAAAGCTCAGCTCCAGCACCAGAGAAGGGCACACATCAAGGTCCTGCTCTGCACCATCCCCATCTCACAGCTGCCTTTAAACATGTTGAAAGTAAGAGGCACATCCAAACGCCTCAGCCATCCTGGGGAAACACTCCCTGTGGAATTCTGACCTTTAATTACTTCTTTCCACAGCCACTACACATCCACCTGCATGGTCCTGGCAGGATGTGTGTCCCGCTGGATCCATGGGATGGGGTCTCCCTGGCACCTGCTGGGAGCACAGGCAGGCAAGGACAGTGCAGGTGCCCTCCCAGCTCCTCCTGCCTGTGCACTTCTCGTCTCCAATGTCAGGCTGCTTTTAAACAGCAGCTTCCAGACAGAGTAAGCTACTAATTAGCACCTTTAAGGAGACCTAACATCATGAGAATGGAGGGGAGGCTGCTCTGCTCGCCTGGACATGCTCCAGCACCCCAAGGAGCCAGGGGACGAGGCTGTGGGCTGTCACCTCCACTCCTGAGAGGATGCTGTACTTCCCAGCTGGCACAGGCACCCACTGCCTAGCACAGTACAGGCTCACATCTGCTTCCTCGGGGCACTGTCTCCCCCTCCGAAGGCAGAGCCGTGGCTGGGCGCTGTGGAGCCTGTGCTGTTTCCTCATGATGACAGTGACTTTATCCTCCCTGTCTGTAGCTCCTCCCTCCTGCTGCAGCTGTCCAACACCAGTTCACCCAGTCCCTGAGAGGCAAGAGCTGGACTCTGCTGTGCCACCCCTACAGCACCGCTGCAGCTCAGGCAGGTGACAGTGGCCTGGAGAAGTGTCTCCTGGCGGGGGGACAGCAGTGATGCTCAGAGGTGCCCTCCCAGCAGAGATGCTCTGCAGCAGGGCTGTGTCACTGCCTTTGCTCCAGGTGAAACTGGGGAGAGGGGGTGCCTTGGGGACAACCCCAGCCTCACACAAGCGTCCCACCACAGCCAGCATGAGCCCCTCACAGCCCTTCCACGCATGTCCCAGTGACCCTGTCCCCATCACCATCGCCCCGCACCCCTGCCCAGCGCCCCACTCACTTGCCGGCCCACACGGTTGTTGTGCAGCCTCATGCGGGAGTGGATGTCCCTGTAGGTTTCTCGGGAATCAAGAAAATCCTTGGAAAACTTCTCCCCATAGTCCACATCGGGGCTGCACCCTCCCCATTCCCAGGAGTCCTGGAGGCCGGGGGTCTCGGCCGGCATGTGCTCCATGTGCACCCCATGCACCATGCCTTTGCCACGGTTCATGGCCTCCAGCTGGAGACGGTGCAGCTTGCGCCGAAAAGCCTCCTCATCGCCCTGGCGCTTCTGGTCGCAGCCACAGGCCTGCAGCTTGCCAAGGGCGCAGGCGTTGGAGACAGCATGCACCACACCGGCGGCTGCGATGGCGTAGGCAAAGGCGCTCTCCCGAAAGCCTGTGAGGAAGGAGAGAGCAGGGTTCAGACTGGGTGGCGTGACCCCCGTCAGGGGTTGGATGAGCCCAGCATCGTGCCAGAGGGAGCCAGAGGTTCAGCTTGTACCTTGTCCTGATGCACTAGCTCCCACCTGGACCATGAGTGAATCCTCACTTGGTGCCCTTCAGCCTCATCCCCCCCAGGACGCATTGCTGCCCTGAAGCCCAGCCCTGTCCTGGTTGGGACCCTAGCTCCTACCATCACCCTGCTCTCACATCGCCCTGGGAGATGCCCTCACTGCATTGCTCAGGCATTGGCATTATGGGGCTGATTGGAAAGGCAGCATCTCCCCCCTAGTCCACTCAGAGTTTCCCAGTATACTAAATATAATGCTGTCTGAGGAATACTTCTGCTGAGGAATGGGTCATCCCTGCTTACCCCCAGGGTGCAGGATCAGGCAGTAACAGGAGCAGACAGCACTGCCTGCCCAGCCCCATCCATCTGCCCATGCCCCTTCCCTCCCCAAGCCCTGCCAGCTCCCACAGGAAGCTCTAAATGCGATACCACACAAAAATCGAGCATCCCCAGTTAGTTAAAACATGCCACAACCGCACTGCGCGCTGCCAGGGCCAGCAGCTGTTTGTCGTTAAATGCCGGGGAGCAAGGATGTCCGCAAGTGTCGTTAGCTGGGGATGGGGCAGACAGGGATGGGTCCTGTGGCAAGGGCTCCATGGGGCTGCAAGCAGGGGCTGCCTGAGGGCTGCTTTGCTTCACTGCAGCTGAGTGAAGAGCCTTCCCTACCTTCCCTGGGATCTTCTATTTTATTTTAAATGCAAAGTAATATTTTTATTCGTGGTTACTGGACCAAGCAGGTAGCACACGGTGCCTTTCAGTGCAGAGTGATCAGCCCCAGCATGAAGAGGGGAAGAAGGGAGAGCCAGATTTTGTGCCATGGCTTCACACATGAATAAATAAAGAGCTGGAGTTCGCCAACCTTTCTCCCTCCATTGGACAAGGGCAGCATGATCAGCCCTGGCTTTGCTATGGCTGAACAGACGAGAGGTTTTGGGGTGTTTTCTCCATGCCATCAAACAGAGGGCTTGGGTGAGCACCCAGGTAGGGGCTCTGCCAGCTCCCTGCCTACACCGTGGAGTCATGAGAGATGAGAGTACAGCTGCTCCCCATTGCCGTCGCCCATCCTGGGCGATGCTCCCCATCACGCACATCTCCTTGGTGGCTCGCTGCCACCCGCTGAGCAAACGCTATGATCTTATTAAAGGGAAATGAAATGCAGCTCAGAAACCTGCATTTAAATTCATGCTGCTTTTTTTGTGTGTTAATTTGACACTGGTGTGTTTAAAAAATTAACGAGGTGCTGCTTAAAAGCCCAGCAGGAGCCTCTCCGAGCTTCCCCTTGGTGTGGGACAAGCTTGCTCTCAGCCTGCCTCTTTCCATGCACAAGTTGAACAACATTTTTCAGTGGGCAGGTAATGGGGCTGCTGGTGCGTACGCTGTGCAGCCTCCCCAGGGAGAGCGCTGGCAGGCAGTGCTGCAACACACCCACGTCGCTGTTAGAGCGGGACAGCCCAATCTGGGGGAACTTCAGCCCCCAGGTGAGCAATGCAGGATGGAGAACCAGCACAAGAAGGTCTCCAGGATCCCCTAGTCTTCCCCATAGTGGTTCTCTGTCCCCACAACCCGGGCCAGTTCCCACCCTTCATGAGCCAAACCCGGGCACAGCCCAAGAGCAGGGACCTGTCGCTGCCACTTTGCTCAGCGTCCCCAGCTCCTCGCACAGCCAATGCCCGGAGAGGGCAGCAGGAAACCCTTGCCCTGGTGCAACACTCCTCTTGGCCCTGCCTTTCCATTAACCTCTTTCTCACACATTTCTCCAGCCTAACAAATAATTTCCCATGCAGCGTTTCCTTAAAATCCCTTCTGGAGCCCAGACAGAAGCTCTACCCCACCCAGTCAGTCTAGCAAGGCCGTCTCCTTACAGGTAAGGAGGCTGGGTTTGTTCGGTGTCCTCCACAGCTGGGAAACCCTTGCAGCCAAACTCCAGCCCTCCTTCCTCCACTGCTCTCCTGTCATGTGCAAGCTGATGGATGAGGCACAGGTCCTGGTCCCTGGAGCTGTCATCCCCCAGGCTGGATGGGCTGGTCCCCAAGACTTGACCTGCCAGTGCTCTGGGTGTCTTACTGTGGTCATTTCCCTGCTCAGCATTGCTCTGCCTGTCCCCACCACTCCTTCCTGCCTTCTTCCTTCTTTCCCTCACCTGCTCTCATGGGGATATGTGAGCAATGGGGAAAAGGGGGGCAGGGCAGTACAGGGACCACCACAGCCATGTCAGCACGGTTCTGCTTGGAGGTTCAGCTTACGTTCCTCTCTCTACCCCAGTTACCTCAGAGTCCAGAGGATTGCAGCTAAGCAGTGAGCAGGGGACAACCACCAACTTCATGGGCTCAGTGAGGGTAGGAGCTTCCAGAAACTGCAGAAGGGTCTCTGGCTACCCCAGCCACCTAAGGCCTCGATGGTGATGTTTGAGTCACCAGATCCTTCCAGAGACCACAGGAGGGGTTGTAGCTATGGGAGGTGCAAGTAGAAGTATTGTATCTTGCAGGGAAGAGGGAATGGAGGACACTACCCAACACCACTGTCGGCATGCAGCCTGCTGTGCATTGAAGGATCATGCTGGACAAGGAGGACAGATCTGAAATCTCAGCCCCAGGTCAGATCCCTAGGCAGCTCGCTTAGCAGGGGAAAATTTTCCCTGTCAAGGTGCACCTAGGAGGTGGAGGGCCATTCAGCAGGCCCCCAAGCATCAGCTGGCACTGGCTCTGCCATGGATGCTGCAGCTTCTCCATCCTTCATGTGGATGTGGGACCAAGGCAATAGATGTGGCTCAGTCATGGCTGTGAGCTCCATGGTCTGCTGGGGTAGGGAGAGCTGGAGTCATGGCCTTCCTCCCACAGCTCACCATCACTCCCAGGCAGCAACATCCTCCCAGCACTCGCCACTGCAGCACATGGGTGGCATTGAGGGAACAGGCAAGACAACCTGGTCCAGGCACACCCTGGGGTACCCCAGGGATGCTCAGCTGCCCACTCTGTGACTCTGTGGATGGCTGCCAGGAGCAGCGGGCACATCACCCTGGCCCCACTGGCTGGCAAGGTGGAGGACAGCTTCTTCTGCTACCTCCTGTGAGGCCCACAGAGATGGCCAGTCCCAACACGCTGCCTCTCCCCCAGCCCCACTCCCTCCCCTCCCCTCTCCCTAATTAAACTGCAGGTGAACCTGCCAGGCTCTGGCCGGGCGCCAGGCACTAAATGCCTCCCTGCAGATCCCAACTTGCCTCCCTGCACCTCCTTGAGTGTGCCGGGGACAGTCCGCAGCCCTCGCTCCCCCGTCCACTCACGGTGCTCCAAGCCACCAGCTGGAGCCACTCTGTGGGCTGCAGGGAGCAGGGCTCAGCCCCACACCTCCAGGGGTGCTGCCCTGGCCCCAGGGCCTCTCTTGCACCCATCAGCTGGGGGAAGGTCCACTGACACACACAGGGATGCAGCCGAGCATCTCAAGCACCCATATGAACTTCAGGGCCAGGTGGGCAAAGCCTTTAGCTTGCCTGCGTGTACCCAAAACCCTGCTAGCAGCCCAGCTGGGGTCTGCAGGCACCAGCACTTGGCTGACGCTTTGCAAGAGCCAGGCACCGAGGTCCTGAGCTTGACAGCACCTCCCTGGATAGCTGTAACAGCACCTGCCTTCCTAACCACACCGCACAGCCTCCCCAGGCTCCAGCTCGCAGCTGGCTGGGCCCCAGCACCCCTGCACCTGGTGTTTCCAGCCTTGCAGGGAGTTCCCCCTCCTCGCTGTACCAAACCAAGGATAGGCTGCAGCCAGAGAGCCCTTCTAAGGAGGGCAGGGGGCATGCAAGCCTCACCCCTCCCTCCAAAGGCTGTGGGAGGGACAATGGGATGCTGTGCTCCAGAGTCACATCCTCTCTAGCCCCACAGACTCAGGACTCTTCAAGGACTCCCTGCTAGCCTCCCCACAGGGATCTGATTTATTTGTGAGCACCATATAGATGGGGTTGGGATGAGCAAAGGGGAACACTCAGGGAAGAGCCTCAGACAGCCCCTGCCCAGCAGCCAGCCAGTCCCAGCCCTGCTAGCATCGCACCAACCCATGGGTGCGCTCGCACCAGACACGGACAAGGGCTAGGTGACCCACCCACATCCCCAGCTTTGTTTTTGACACACACACAGGTATAATTCAGCCCATTCAAGCCACATGGTACCTGGCAGCCCCCAGATGCTGTGAAGGGATGGCACACCGGGGTAAACAGGCCACCCTCTCCAGAGAGCTGGGCATGGTTGTGCTGCTCACCCTTGGAGCATGAGCAGAGGACCTGTCTCAGTTACTGGTGCAGATGCAGCCACCTGCCCCCACCTCACCACTGCATCCTCCTACAACTGCCCTAGAGGCCAGAAAAGGAGGTCTCTGATGGCACCTGGAGGGAGAGGGAGGGACAGCAGAGAGGGATGGGACCAAGGACAGTGTCCTGGCAGGGAACAGAGCCAAGGAATGGGCAGGAGGGTGTTGAGTTCATGGGCAGCCACCTGAGGAGCCAAGGAAGATGGCAGGAGGATTTGCAATGGCAATGCTGAGCCTGGATGCACATGGAAGGGATGTGGGCCAAGAAGAACAGGGAGTGCAGATGACACTGGAGGCTCAGTGAGGGCTACAAGGGACACCCCACACCCTAAGGGTGCAGCATCAAAAGACAAAACCTGAAAAACCCACAGCCCTTGGGGGTGTCTGAAAAAAAAAGAAGAAAAAAAGAGGCTCTGTGAGAGCATGGGCAGTAAATCCCTGGGCACCCTCTCTGCTCGCCCTCTGCTAACCTGTTGTTATGCCTTGCAGCTGCTGTGCCCTGCACCACAGGGATGGCTGCATCTCCCTGCTGCATCTGGCAGGTCTGTGCTCTGCCCAGGATGCTGTCAGCATCCCTGTCCCCAGGTACACTGCCCAGCAGAAGCCTTGCCAGATTCCCAGCACTGCCCAGTTTGAAGCCTCCCTGCTCCTTCCTGGCTCCCCAGCGCTTGTACTCAAACTTCTGGGCTCAGATCAGCGGGATGGGGAGACAGGCAGTCATTTCCCTCTGTGCCCAGGGACTGAGCACCCTGGCTCCACGGAGCATCTGGATGCTGGGCAGAGCGTGGGAGGAGCACTGGTGCTGCACCCCGGATGGCTCACGCCCACGCTGGGGGAGACGCAAGAGATGCAGGAGGATGGGGCGGAGGTGGGGAGCGGAGCCAAGTGGGGAGAGAGGGAGGGAGAAGCCAGCTACAAATAATTTAAAGTGAGATTCACGCACGGCTGAACTGATGGCAGAAGAAGTGGGAAAAGGAATGAAAGATTAAAGGGCTCTGTCACTTCAGGTTACAAACAATGATCCTATGAGCACGTTGCGTTCCCAGGCACGGCAGGGATGGGGCAAGGCATGGAGCAGAGACCTGGTCCCTGGGGTTCGGGTGCATTAATGCCTGCAGCATGGAGCCTGCACCCCTTGCTTCCACCACTCGCCTCTCCTCCAGCGCTAGGCTCTGGAGATGCAGCCAGCATCCCTGCTCTGATGGCTGTGTCCGTAACAGCTGCGAGGCAGAGCTCAGAGCTCCAGCTCCATTACTGAGGGACACAAGTGGGGAAGCAGGCCAGGGCACCAGCCTCAAGACTTGCTCCATGCCAGAATGGCTTTGAGCAACTGCATGGGATGGCCTGGGTGCTCAGGGCTCATCCTGCACCCTCTGCTGCTGAAAGAGGAGTGCTGTGAGGTGCCTGTCTGCTCTGCTGCACCAGCCCTACCTCGGTCCTTCCCTGGTGCTGGTTCTCCATTCCAGGGGATGGGATCCCACCGGTGCTGGGAGCCTGGACTAAGCCATACCCAAGAGCTCAGGACTGGGGCAAGAGTCCAGGAGCTGCAGAAGTCCCCACACCTATTGGTCACAGCCCTCATAGTGGGAAGGGCTGCAGTGGCACCTGAGACAAGTGAGCTGCAAGATACCAGTCATCACCAGATGTGGTGGGCTGAGGGAGGGATGCGGAAGGTGAATGCTTGCTGCTGCTGGAGCTTCTCACCCAGCCTGGTGGGACCTGGAGCACGGAAGCTCGCCTGGGTGTGTGAGCAACTTGAGCCAGCAAGTCGGTGTCTCCTGCTGCCTGAGGAGTCTAGAAGTGAACCGCATTCCTCAGAGGACCTGGAAATACCTCGATGCTTATCAGGGCTGATGGTCCCCACCCTCCCTGCCAGGCTCTAACCTGGGTGCTGCTCATTGAGGGAAGAGACACTGCCCTTCTCCAGGCAACTGCGGCTGCTCCATGGTAGGACCACAGCCCTGATGCTACACGTGCTCCAAGGTAGCATCCTCTCCAGCAAGGCTTTGCCCTGGACAAGAGGGACCTCCTGGATCCACTCTCCAGCCACTTCCTCATCTGTTACAGCTGCCAGGGTGCTCCTGCCACCACATCCCCTCAAAAGCATCAAATCTCTCCTCTGAGACTCTTCTCGCAGTCCAAGGGAGAGATGTTGCAGGGTGTGGAACAATGTCTGGGGACATGAGGACAGAGGCACCTCTCTGCTGGGCATCAGGCTAGGAGGCTCCCAAAAGGGGTAGGTAAGCAGCATTTTTGGTAGCTTTCTCCTTCCTCAGGAGCTGGAAGAGCGATATTTACTGGGCACCTTCCCTGCTCTCAGCACCTTGTCTGCCTGCCAGTGGCTCCACATAGTTCTCTCCTGCCTGCAACCTGGGGTAACAGGACCCTCGGTGTATGCTGAGGTTTCAAAAGGGTACTTAGGTGGAAAGATACTTTCAAGTCCTACAGAAGGTCCCATCCGGTCACAACCCTGATCTGCACTGTGCAGGGCAGCCCCTCTACACTCCCAAAGTGCACTCCGGAGGGAAAGGGTATCCAAGAGTATTCACTGGAATAGGCTGCCCCAGAAGGTGGTTGAGTGACCATCCCTGGAGGTGTTTAAAGATGAGTAGATGTCGTGCTTAGGGACATGGTCTAGTGGCAGACTTAGGCAGGATCAATGGTTGGACTCAATGATCTTGAAGGTCTTTTCCAAGCAAAACCATGCTATGATTCTAACCGGGGAGGCTCTGATAGACGCGGAGCTGATCACGCCTGTGAGGGAGATGAGGAGACCCCGGCACTAGGGCTTGGTGGACCATGGAGGGATAGGAGAGCTCTCCAGCAGCGCAGGTGGGGGCTCTGTGGGCAGGCAAGTTCCCAGGACAGCCTGTCTCCCTGCCCCTCACGGCACCATGCTCCAGGGTCCCACAAAACAGAAAGCCCTTAGCTCTCTGCACTGGGGAGCCAACACAAAGGCAGAACATCAGGGTGATGGGCTTACAAAGCTACAGGATGTTTCTGCTCACCATGATGCACTGAAACACCATCCCCAGAGCAGTAATGTGCCAAGATGCTCACTGCATCCACCAAACCGAATCCCAGAGCACGGCATCCGCCTTCAGACCCACCAACTGTTCTGCACACCCATGGCACAGCTCCAAACACCAGACTACACCAAATGGGAGGAAGATGCCAGAGAGCAGCAGGGCCTGGAAGGATCCTTGGAAGCAGCTGGGGCTGGGCAAAGACAAGGGCAGTGTAGGTGTGAAGATCACAGAGAGAAGAGCCCAGCTTTACTGCAACGCACTACCACTTGGTCTGGCAGACCCCAAAGTTCCTCAGGCTCTGTCTGCCTTCATCCATGTGGATGATGAAGAGCTGGCTTGGTCCCCTGGTCCAGGAAAGAGCTGTGCAAGGGGCCCATGGAGATCCCATAATGGCTCCTGAGAGCAGGGGCTGGGCAAAGGAAGAGAAGGAAGACCATCTAGCCCTTACCTCTGCTGAAGATGATGCTCTCGTAGGGGATCTTGTTCTTGGTCTCGAGGCTGGAGCAGTTCCAGCGCTGGTCACGGAACTGGTGCTGGCACTCATGGATGGCGATCTGGATGCCCTGGATGGCCGAGGCGGTGACATCAGGGTGGCGCACACACCCCTCCAGCTGCCGCCGCGTCAGCCCCGGCAGGGTCAGGCACACTGTGTTGGCGTTCAGCACCGGCTCCGATGGCAGCTTCAGGCCGAGGATCTCATTGGAGCAGGAGCTGGGGGGAAAAGGGAAAGCCTTGAGCTCAGAGCCAGCAATGTGCTGGCTGCTTGCTTCCCCTTTGGGAACACACAGGGAGCGGAGTTGCTCCTCTCCCCGCAGCGTGATCACACGAGGACAGGCTGCGGTTGGAAAGAAGGAGAGAAGACAAAGGACACTGGAAAGGGTCAGCTCCAAAGGCTGGGGTGTCCAAGGGCCAGAACTGCCCCCCTCCCCCCTATCCCTGGGCATAGTGGCAAGCTCAGCCAGACAGAGATGCCCCAGCAGCACTAGGCTTGCAATGGGCACAGCTCGGGCACAGCTTGGACATCCCAGCAGCCTGGGCAACCCAGCAGCCTGTGCCTAGCAGCAGCACAGCATGTCCCAGGGCTGCACCCCCTCTGCACCTTCCTCCAGGACTCTTCTGCACTGGCTGTGCAGTGGAGACTCTCGGGCACAGACTGCCATGGCTCACCTTCCCCAGAAAGCGTGTGGTTTCCATGGGAGAATCCGGAGACCCCTTGAGCAGGAGACCCATCCCAGGTCTGGCTCCACCCTTGACTGATCCCCTCTCTGCATCTCCTGTGCCCCCCTGGCACTGCTGGTCCTCATAAGGGAGGCAACCAGAGGGACTAGCTTTCTCCTGCCAGCTCAGCTCAGAAATTCAGAGACAAGCACTCTGATGAACACCCTCAAGCTCCCAGCAACAGTCCCAAATCCATTGTCACATCCCAGCCCCACTGGACCTGATGCCTGTCACCAAAGAAACACAGAGACCAGCAGATGGATGGGTGCAAGGGGAGGCTCATAGTCTGTGGCAGGGCTGCAAGTACTTAGACAAGTAGAGATGCTGCCTGGGGAAACAAGGAGGTAGAGGGAATGTGAGATGGACAAAGCATGCCCAGAGAGAGGTGCCTGGAGCTAAGACAGTGGTACACAGGACAGATGGATGTGGAGAGGGAGATTGAAGGGGAAGAAGTGTCTGCCCAGCTACAAGGAATAGATTGAAAGATCCTGGGATCCACAGTGTCCAAGCAGAGGACCTGCAAAGCAAGCAGCAGGCAGTGGGGTGCCAAGGAGCATCCTGCAGCTTGCAGCAGGTCCATCAGGAGCTCAGCACTGTCCAGTTCCTTGCTGAGGGCAGCTCAGTCCCTGCTGAGAGTTCTCCCCAGGCAGGGCCCCCTCTTCCCCAGGACAGCCAAGAGTTGGGTCCCTGGAAGGAGCAGGGAACCAGAGCCCTTTGAACCTTGATCACAAAAATGAGACTTGGAGGAGGATGCTGGAGGAAAGAACTCAGCTGCCTTACAGAGAAGCCAGGTCTTGGGGAAAAGACCTCTCTGCTCCTCAAATCTTGCAAGTCTGGTGCAGGTACATGGACAGAAGCAGCCTGGGGGGTCAGAGACAGACTTCCCCAGTTCTGGAGGAAGGGCTCAGCCCCACGGTTCCTGCTGTATTACAGCTTGTTCAGGAGGGAAGGGGAGCTGTCAGGGTCAGGATGCTGCTTTCTCCAGCTTCCCAAGGGTGTTTGCACCCACCACACTTTCACGGGTGATGTGTGGGTCTGCCCCAGTGCAAATCCACAGGGAGTCCAACAGGGAGAGTAGGGGTGGAGAGGAGCAGAGAGAAGGAGAGCAAAAAGGGGTGCAACCCTCCAAAGCCCCTACACAGGAGGGGAAAGCCTCTGCCCAGCATCAGCACTTGTTCTCGCGGTCAAAGCAAGCCCTGTCTGACACAAGATGCAAAGCAAGTCCACAGCTACCACCATCCTCAAGCCCAGCAGCTGCTGCCCCAAGCACTGCAGGGACCTCATCCCCTGCCTGTCCTGAGCCAGCCACAGTGCCTGCCACCTTCTTCCAGGGCATCCCAGGGTGGGGGAGTGTTATGGTACTTCTCCATATTGCACAGCAGGGAAACTGAGGCAGGGGCCCTTGTCTAGGGCCCCAGAGAGTGGTGGGCAGGTCCCTCTGTCTCTTGCTTCACCCAGGGCTCAGAGGGGCCAGGGATCAGCAAGGAGCTGTCACTGTCACCCTCCCTAGGAGGACATAGTGCTCGCCCCAGCTCTCTTCCCCGCTGAAATCTGGATTTAAACTTGATTTCACGGTGACAAGCCCCCAGGTCACAGGCTGCAGCGGCTGCTGCTTTAATTAATACAAGTCCCAACGTTAACAAATTATATTTAAAGGGGCTGCAGGGAGGGGGCCCCCCCCCCCAACTCACACCAGCCCCAGGGTTAACCCCTGGCTGCCTGCAGCACACAAGTTTGGGAGCGGGCAGAGGGGAGGCTGCCAGCCACCCGGGGGAGATGGAGACCGACAGGGGTGGTGAGTGTTGGGGGGAAGGGCTTTATCTGGAAAACAGGCGGCCTCCCCTTATCCCCCCTCGCCTCGGGGATCTGCGGAGCCGGGGAGGAGATGCAGGTGGATCCCCTGCCCTGGTGCACACCCCTGGCGTACGGAGCTCAAAAGCACCCATCCCGTGGACACCTTCCCCCA